GGTAAGTATATTAGTCCTTGACTGCTTCAATTTTTAAATCAAAATATTCATGTTGATAGAGAAAATGTTATAATGAGTAAAGATAACTTCCAACATCCTCCATGTGTAGCAGTTAATTTGCTACTCAAACCAGGCTCTCTTGTTCATTGTGAGAAGCAGAGCACCATTTATTTGGTATGCAGAAAGCTATCAGGAAAGTATGATATCACACAGTAAGAAGACCAAACTCTTTTCACCATTTTGATACAAATTTGTTTCAAAAATCAAATTTAATCACTAGGGGGAAGGCTCAGCATGAATAATCTGCTTTCTGGCTAAGAACTGCATGTAAAGAACATGATTCGTCATTATTCTGCTAAATTTTTTACAGGAAAAGTGAATTTCAGATTACAAGGATCAAGAAAACTAGGGAATGTTTATGAGAAGAATAAAAGATGAAAACAACTAAAGAAATGTTGAAAAAGACCAACCTCCTTTAGTTCAGTGCCTGGAAGTGGTTCCCCTTCACTGTCACAAGGTTGATAACTCATTGACTCATTCCATTTCCCAGTCATCAATATCTTTGGCTCCTCAGCGGCGTTATATACACATCCATCAATCTCATACCAACCAGCTCTGTGAACAACCAAGACCTAAAGTTAAATTGTGTAAAATCAACGGACGGTAGAAATTGGCAAATGAAACTAAATAACTAATGTTACCATGTATCAAGTGAAATCATTTCAAAATCTTGATGAGCTATTTTTTTTTGTCTTCAAATAACACAGAGAGGAGAAAATTTGGCAGTTGGTGCCAACAGATTCAGCTGAATAGTAATTTTTCAGACTAAAACCATAGCCAAACCAACCACGCGGTTGAAAATCTAGCACAGCTTTGTCCCATGTTGTAAGGTTTGTCATTATCATCTCCCCTGATGAGTCAACCCAAGTTCATCCAAAAATTAAGTTGTTAACTTTGGTGGGAGGAGGAACCAAATCAAGAACTATGCCATCTCTTTTAAGGGTCACACGGATCCTGCACACAAAATTATTTTAGAATCTATGCATGAGCACAAACTGTAAACTTTAAAAATAAGCTCAGTTGTCACTTTCACTGATATCAAACACCGTGAAAGGATAATCCAAATGAGTTCAATTTGATCAGATGAAATGCAGCCTAAGAGATGGATGATCCAAAAGAAGATTAGGTGGGAAAGCGTAAAAAATCAAGTTTATGTTTGACAGCCACACAATCTCTGAAAGCATAAGAATGCATATAAACAAATTCTCCCCTCCCCATTGTAATGTTACTCTTTTGAAGGACACAGATAAATCAACATATGGTAAATGCATAAGAACTCAGGCATTAAAAAACTTCGCTCAAATTTTCAACCCATATTCGGCTCAACTACAAGTAGAAAATTCTCCAGCAAAAATCAATAAAACTGCAAGAAGAGAACTTTGTATAATCAGAATTAGAAATTATTGTAAAACTTCACAAACTCCAGGTGTTAATGCTGCTTCTGTTAGCTTATAAAACATGCTAATAATGTACATGATGGTGAATTGAAAAACAAAAAAAGAAATAGTAATTATTGTAAATTATCAGAAACTCCAAACATCAATGCTGCTTCTATTAGCTTACAAAACATGCTAATGATGTACATGATAGTGAAATTGAAAAACAAAAAAGCAAATAGTAGTAAGTAAGCTCTCTTATTGTGGAACAAGTTTCGACAGAGAGAATGCTTTACCTTCCAAGTGGATAGATATCAATTGAGTTTCCCAAAAATTTGGTTTTCACTTTAGAAGAAATATCATAAATGAAATGATCATTTTCAGCATGACCAGCACTCATTGGGGACTGATGACTAACCTGGAAGGGAAAAATGTCTAATAAGGATCTTAAAATAGCAGTCATTTAAAGAAATTATACAAAAACAATGTCAGAAATAATAGCCCAAAGCATCAAAATGAGAGAAAAAATGAACCATGACTTAGGTCTGAAAGATCTTCCTGCTCAGCTATAAAAGTAATGCCACCATGATTAACCATTTCATAAGTCTCACCCAGTATGGGATTGAATGGTTTCTAGGCACGTTGATAGGCATGGTAGACAGATATAGCCCATGATGCTGCAATTAGCTACTATTAGTCCATCTAATTAAACTTACAGAGAACTTTAAAAATAGAAATTAAAAGAAGTCTTACTGGAGTACACCAATTGCATGTAAGGATCCTCACATTATTCATCAGCCAGATCTAGCAGGTAGGAGTACTCCATCAACTGTCACAGACAATGAGATAGATAAAATCCCACCAAGCAAAAAGAAACAAACACAGCAATAACATTACAGCAATGAAGTTTGGATATGGAAACACAAACCTCAGCCATTTTCTGCAACATTGACATTGGCTCAAAATTAAGTACTGGAAGTGTCACCATTGATGTGACATCAGATCCTATACACTTTTGCATCATTTTCCAATAACTGTCCCTGTCCTGTTAAACAAGAGAAAGAAAAGTGCACATACCCATACAAGTTAATAAAATGCTAATCTTATCATATCAAACCAGATAAATTGATCATTTTTGTGAAAGAAAACTTAGGCGTTGGCAAGGTGAGTTATTCATTGTTCCAGTAAATGTTGAGGATGCAAGTCTTTTAGTCATAGCCAGTGAACAAAGTTAACTTTTCTCTTCATAAGGGTCACATGCTGAGCAACATTTGAAGTTCTAAGAAACAAATAAATGGAGAGCAAGTCCTCACCTGATGAATGAAAAATGTTGCATATGTTCCAGCAAAACCAGTTGCTACATGTTAACCAATGCTTTATTTTGATTTCTTAGCAATGTAAAGGTAATTGTTACTACTATATAACCTTGATAACAATTAATGACTTTGCTGGCACCGCATATTTCAAATTGAAGAATCATGATCCAAATGATATGATAGAACCAGGCATCAATGCAAATGCTTTTGTTACTTATTTTCTTCAATAAACAGGAAAATTAGGCATTACCTCCTGTTTCCACCTTCCTCTTCTTGCTTCCTCTTTCGCAACTTCAGTCCTGCCTTCTGGATTAACAACTTGCAGCACTTCATATCCCACTAAACTTTATAAACAGAAAAACGACTGTGAATTCTCGATGAGTAACTTTTTAACACATTCAAATTAGTTCATTCAAGATACTAATTATTCAAGCTAAATTCTCTATTCATTGATCTGATACAGCAAATTCCTTTTAAACCACAATTATTATGCATTCAAAAACAAATTCAAATTTGAACTAAAAGTATATCCACGTGAAGATCGAAGAAATCAAATGAGAATTTCAAAAAAAAATCAGAGAAAAAGGAAATTAAATAAAAATAATAAAAAAATAAAATTAGAAGATGGATCTTAATACCCGTTGACTGACTTATTCATGGCGCTACCAAAATTAGAGAAACTGTTAGCGATCGACGCGAAGAAACCACCGCTTTGTTTCGGATCATTCGGCGCCATCTCTCTTAATTACTTTTTTTTTAAATCACAGCCCGTTTCTGAAGCGAAATCCGAGAGAGAATAAGAGGTGTCAAAAAGAAATGAATTTTAATTTTTAATTATGAGAATATATTTATATTTCTTAAATGATTGAAACAACAAAGACTGGCAAAGATGCTCGTTGGTGGTTCTTTGTTTTGAAGTCAAATTTGAAGATTTTCTTTTTATTTTTTCTGTTTTTTTCCTTTCCGTGTTCCGCCACGTGTTGATTGGGGAGCTAGTGAAAATCCAACTAGGCGGCTTTCGAAAAAGCACCAAAAAGGCTGGGCCCCAATGCAAGTGGACTGGACCTGGGTTCCTTAGCCGGCAAGCCTAGTGCCGTGCGTGGTTCTTTTGATTATTTCAGCAATGAGTTTGGACCATTCAAGGCTATAAAAAGTCTAAGGCCAGTTGAATATCTAATTATTTCTTTTAAATTAGTCAATAATGTATATTGGTTTTAATATTGTTAAATTTATTTTGATATTTTAAAATTTTATAATTTAAAAATAAACGAAAAGATTTATATATATTAAGATTTGAATTTTAGATTTATTAAATATATTATTATATTATTATAAAAAAATAAATTTGCAAATTGAAATATAAAGTTTTTTATAAGACTTAAAATTTAGGTTAAAGTAAATTCAAATGTTTGAAAGAAATATAATAAAGTTTACAAAATGGGAGAAGCTCAAAATCTACGGGTCTTTATATAAAAAAATTTACAACAAATATAGAATCTAAATACTAACGTTTTTCCCTTTAAAATCATAAATAAAATTACACATTGCACACGAATTTCAAGTTTATACATGTTTAAACCATTGATATTAATATAAATGTTAAAAAAAAAAAGGAAAACAAATATAAATGGATCGTAAACTTGGGTTTTAGGGCTTCCCACAGTGGCACAAAACGTTGGGCCTTTTGAGCTGTCATAGTGGGCTTGCTTGTATACATAGATAATAATTAATTTAATAAATTATAACATTTTAAAAATATTCGTTAATAAAATTCATATTTAATAAAGATTTATTTGAGTTGGCCAAATAAATAAAAATTTATTTAGCAGCCGGACAAAAAAATTTCTTGTCACATCATAATTGTGTTTTATGATTAAATATTTTAAGATTCAATAATAAAATGAGATGTCTAACTAAGTATTAATAGCTAGAACTAGAAAGAGTCTAGTATGGAAGCCAAGCTTAAGGCAAGTAGCAATTAATTAAATCAATAATTATTGAAATAATTAGTTCATGGCTTTCTTGATGACTTTACATAAATTTGATGACTTGTTCAAGATAATGAATTTAAAAAAAAAAAAAAAATCATTTGGACTTTTTATTTTTGTCATATGACATTAATTTGTCTTCTTAAATCTTAAATACACCAACCTTTTTTTTTGGTAAGTTAAATACACCATTAAATACTATTTTATGAACCATATTTTTATTTCTTCATGTGGTAGGTTTTAGACTTTTAGTGTCGGAGTAGGTGTACAGTTACACTTGCCGCAATATTTTTCATTGAATACTTTTAAAAAATAATAATAAATACATGTTCATGACATATATTTCGTGTATATGGAAGCTGTCTGAATTCTGATCGATTCTACTAGCAGCCAAATTTGTCTGTCGTTGAATAACTGCCCAAATCACTTCACATTCTTGTTCTCTCATGTCTTTTTTTGACTAATTGAGCTGAATAACTTTGTCTGAATTGTGAGAACTGGTTTGGATTTTGATCAAATCTTTTGTCAGTTTCAGCTTCCATGGCTACAGACCCTTCACCACAGATCCCAACCAGGGTTAATTCAAGGAGGTCCAGCAACTTGATACACCCAGTTGATGTAGAAACGCCACCTGTTGGGACTCCAGGTCCAGTCGTTTACAGAGAAATCAAGCGCTTCAAGAAATGGATACCTTGGTTGATTCCTGCTTTTGTTGTTGCCAATACTGTTGTGTTTATCATCACCATGTACGTGAATAATTGTCCCAAGAATTCTGTTTCTTGCATTGCTGATTTCTTAGGTAGGTTCTCCTTTCAGCCTTTTAAGGAGAATCCTCTTCTGGGTCCTTCTTCTGCCACGTAAGTAATTCATTGCTTTGCTGGGTTGTTTTTCCTTGTTTCAGTTGAAAATTTTTTTTCTACTTTTTAATACGTTTACGCTGATGAGTTCATGGTTATTGGTTCTAGGCTGCAGAAGATGGGGGCTCTAGATGTAAAGAAAGTAGTTGATGGACACCAGGGATGGCGTCTCATCACTTGCAATTGGTTACACGCAGGCGTTTTTCATTTGCTGGCAAACATGTCGAGTCTTTTAGTCATTGGAATCTGGCTTGAAAGAGATTTTGGATTCAGTATGTGCTTTAATTCATAGCTCATGCTTGCCGTCAAATTGATGCATAGAGACTGCAATTTGTAGAATCCTCTGAACTTCCATGCTATACTGCTGCTTTTATTAAATTGTTTATGTTCTATACCTATTTTCAAAGCTCAATTTATGCATGTATGTTCTATGGACCTGACCCCCTTATGAATTACTTTATAAAGCCATACCTGCCAACTCCTTTTATTCCTGTTTCTCCATAAGGTCTCTTCTCTTGTTGTCCACATCAGTATTGAAAGCGATCCAATCAAGCCGAAACTGTGTTTGTTCCAAATGTATCCTTTAGTCTCTTTGATAGTCATTCAAGGGATTTTAGTCCATCGTTAGCTCATTTGTTCAAACCCTTCTTTAGTTTGTGTTGCATCTGTCAGACTGTCATAAGCATCAAATTAAAGCAAACTCATTTGCTGCTGGAGGGCATGAATGGCATCAAGGTGAAGCATTCTCTGCAACTCATATTTGATTAATAAGTTCCATACAGCACCATTCAGGACATGATTTTGAGTTAAGACCATAGATTTACAGAATTTAGTGCCATAGTTAATTTTGCAAGACTTTGTTTAATCATTTTGTCTGCTGAATTTTGAGAAACTTTAGTGCCACCACAATGAGAACGTATCTATTTTATGCTACAATTACTAATTTAGCATAAAATCCTACTTTATTTTTGTGTGATTGTGTTGCAGTACTGGTTGGATTGCTGTATATCATCTCTGGATTTGGTGGGAGTTTGTTGTCTGCTCTTTTCATCCAGTCAAATATCTCTGTTGGTGCCTCTGGTGCGCTTTTTGGGTTACTTGGAGGCATGCTTTCTGAGCTTATTACTAATTGGACAATTTATGCTAATAAGGTACTTTATTGCTCAATCATTAATTGAATTACAGACATCCAAATATTGAGACTCTGGTATGCTATTACTTGTTATCAGGCCAAAATGCCTTCAATTTTGGGTGCTTTTGTAGGTGGCAGCCTTTGTGACTCTCCTGGTCATCATCGCCATAAATTTAGCAGTAGGAATCCTACCACATGTTGACAACTTTGCTCACATTGGAGGATTTCTCACCGGTTTTCTTCTTGGATTTGTGTTTTTCATCCGCCCCCAGTTTGGATGGGTTAGTCAAAGATATGCTCCTCCTGGACATTCAAGTTCAGCTCGACCTAAATTCAAGAAATATCAGTACATTTTGTGGGTGGTTTCTTTGATCCTGTTAATTGTGGGGTAAGCAGATAAACCATTTTATCTTTTGGATGATCTGACATTCTTATTAAATTGCGGTTTTAAAATGTTGAAAAAAAGAGTGAAAGAAAAATGGAGGAACATAAGAACATGATATCTATTTTGACTGATGAACTACATAGTTTAGTACTATGTACCATGCGCATAGACTAGCTTTCTGGCATGGTGCTTTGATTACATAATTGACATGGTGAATTTTTACTTCTGTTTTCACTTAAAACCGACACTAATTTTGCAGTTTAACTCTTGGATTGGTTATGCTTCTCCGTGGAGTTGACGCAAATGATCATTGTTCTTGGTGTCATTACTTGTCCTGCGTCCCTACTTCAAGATGGAGCTGCAATTCAGAGCCCGCATACTGCTCGGTAACAAAATCAATACTGTTTTTTGTTTCACACTTCTCTCTCTTTATGCTTTAACACATATCAATGGCTTCAACCCTTTTATCAAAGTTATGGCTCCTAACTATAGATCCTTTCATATGGCTATGAAACAAATAGTTTGACCATGTCACCAAGTAGTGAATCTTATGTTTGTTAGTTAGAACAGCAAAACTGGAGAAATAAGAATAACGAGATGTCAGGGAAGGGATACAACCTCAGGTTTTATCCCTTTAGGGTCCATTTTGCAGCCTGATTGAAAGGCTCCCACCACACCGGAGGGTGCATTTTATGGCTGGAGCCTCAAAATCAATCGGTCTTCCATATGGAGCCTTAGCCAATATATGACCTCAGGTTCATGCTTATATACAAGCATTGTTTTACTTGGTGGAAATCAGTTTCTGATTGCCAATCATTATCGCATATCAGTGTATATAAATCCATGAATTTAATCTGTGCAAATTACTACTATTGCAGTCCACCCAACTAGGCAGCCAGGTAAATGTAACTTGCTCCACCAGCGGAAAGACCACCACATACTTTTTGCCAGGCGCAAGCAATTCTCAGATCCAGAGTCTATGTTCTCAGCAGTGCAGCTGATTCTACATGCCAAAAGATGGAAGTTCGATCATGCATCACTTTCATGTACAAAATATTATCAGTAGCCATTCCTTTTATACGTTTCTAATACATTGTCTTCCCATATATACTACATTGTTCTGTAAATTGACCTTCAGCGTGGCACCGATGATTGATTTACGATTGGTTACTATGATTTAGAAGTGAATCAGACGAATAGACGGTAGTATGAGAATGCAGGATTTCTATTATGCAGTACTGCAGCAGTTTCAATAGGCCAACTCTAGAATTGCTCTTTCAAATAACCCACCAAGAATTTAGTAACATAGTAATGTATAGCATCATCTTGACTTAATCCAAATCATGCATTACTACAACAATTCAACAGTTAAGCTAAAAGTGTTACACAATTTGCTCATTGTATGAATTTAAAATATTCCCACGATTTTCCTTTCTCACCTTTCTCAATGTTCCTGCTTTCAGAATGAAAATTCTAATCAATATCTCTGGGGTTTTCACATGATTTAAACACTTTTCATTGAAGTTACAACCAACAGCGAGTTGTTTTAGGGGTTTCGATCACCACGCTTTCAAGGCACGTGCTTGGTGTGCTAGCAGTAATAATGTTTCAGCCACTGGTAAAACAAGTCTCAACTTGACCCCAGTGAACCGGTGAACCAGTGCCCACCGAACACAATATGTTGGCGCTAAGATTCCCTCCCGTCTGGCTAACCACTTTTGGTCTTCCTAGCTATGGAAGTTTAGTTGTTGTGGTAGTTGAAGTTGATCCTTAAAACAGTTTTGAGTGGGTACATACATGCAATGGCAATTCAGTGAAGAACCGAGATGAAAATTTTAACTTAGGTAGGATGAAGTTTTTTTAATGTCCCAACTCCCAAGCAACAAGGAACAGGAGGGTAAAAATGGGACAGGAACAACTGTTCTTGTCCTTACTGCAGACTTCAATTCTCAACTAGAAACAGAAGTTGGTTGAAACACAATCCAGAAAACTTTTGGAGAAAATTGTCTCCTTTTTCTTTTATTGTTTTTCCATTTTTTTTTTTAGACAGGAGACTAATTAATGCTATGTATATCAATTGAATTGAGTGTTCCCAATTAGCTGAAGCTGTCTTGTTGTCTACTCCCTAAACGACACGTTTAAGTGCATGTTCATAAATTTACATCAAAATCGTGACCTGTAATTTACAAAAACATGGCTGCTTGTCCTGTAAAATCGTAAAATTGAGGTTGCCATAAATGACCATAAAATGCCTTCCCTTGACTAAGATATCACCCTGTTTCATGTCTGTTGCCTTATTTTCGAATAAACTCTGGAGTCTGGAGATGTGAAATATAATAAAAAACTTCTCTCACTACTTAAATTTCTGCAACTGAATTCAGACTTTTCCCCAAGAGTTAAGACACTGTCCAGCTAGCCCTTCAAAAATTGTACTGCCGTGAATAAATGTTGGAAGGTAAAACAACTACTGACAGCAATGTTTTTCAGTACCCGGGGTCCTTTATCATTAGCTACATACAATTGGGTTTTTAAGTTAATAGGAAACTGGCACAAGCCTAGGCCTGCAAAATAAAGAATGTTGGACCATGGAAGCTTGAGAGAGAGCTCCAAAATGAGGTAGGCTTGGCTCTATAGCATGTACAACGTGCAGCAATAAGTTATTATAAACATGGAAAGCTATCCTTACCTCGATAGCAAAAATGTATTTTTCAATGAAACGGGGGACCATGAAAGCCCCAATGAGAGCACCATTGATTCTTTTTTATGATGGTTTCTTATGGAAGGAATCTAATACCTTAGATATAAAAGGGTATTTGGACTTTCTACTTCTAGTGGTTAAGAGACGAATTAAAAATCATGTAGATGTGAATTTGATCCCATCATTCTTCCTCTCTTCCTTGGAAGAGCACTAATCCTCTTTTGCAATCAAAAAAATAAAAGGGTATCTAAAATTCTTGTATATCACATAATCAATCCGCCATTGTTATTGCCAACCAACCAAAAAATATGCTGGTGATGATTAATTTGGAGTGCATTATCTTCAAAACTTTTTTATTTCTTTCTTATAATGTCAACAAAAGGACATTAAATCACGAAACCCCAAGTGATAATGGTTTCAAAAGACTTGTTTGTTCCATCTTAACTATACATGCAAAATCAAACCCTAGTAGGAGAGTAGAAGAAAACTGGGACACCCTAATTTTTTATTTATTTTTATTTATTTGTAATTAAATTTGGTCTCATATAGCCATGAAAGAATGATAAGCTATGAAGAAGCAACCAAAACAATAATTCGATTCACACGTCAGAGTTGGGCATGGATTTTTTTTCTTGAGTTTTTCTTCAATGATCAAAAAAGTGGCTCTGGCTTACGGTTTGTTAGAGTGGGGGAAAGGGCACTTTTCTTGAGTATTATTTTTCGATGTGACACCATTTTATCAGCTCAAATATGATGACATTTTGTGAGGTTTGAATTCGAATTGTACTACTATGGATTTGCCTCTTCAATTCTATGTTTTCCAGGTGTAGAACATGGGTTTGATTTGTCTTTTGTACAATAAAAAATTAATTTTATTTCGAATCTTTTATGATTCAAAAGATAAATATTTATCGTACAAATATAAATAATCCCCGTCAAATATTTTTAAACGAATTCAACATCGATTCTAATCTTATCATTTGAACGTCGAATTACCTAGATTTAATATTTGTATCATATCAATATAAATAATATTTTTCAGGTATTATTAAATGAACACAATTTCTATATCTGTTCTTAAGTTTTCTCTTCTATTTATTTTCTTCTTGAATACTTATTTGAGTTTCAAAATAAAATTATTAACAGATTTTTTGACCTTTATTTTTTACTGACCTCCCTTATAATTTCATATTTCTACACTCATCAAACAAACTCCCAAATATTTAAAAAAGAAAAAAAAAGGTCTGTGAGAAATGGACCAGCAAATTGCATTAATTACATATAGTAATAATTTATTTTTTGCTTCTCTGATTCCCTTTGCAAGTCCTCCCCCTTTCAGCTCCTCAATAAGTACCCCCACCTTCTTCATGCTTTCCATTCGGCCCAAAATCAACACACCCACTATTTCTCTCTCTTTTCTTTATCTCTTCCTTTTTCTCTAAAGAAGAAAACAATGGCTGTTGCTACATCTTCTTTGATGAGTGTGCTCTGTTTTGCTTCATTGCTGTCCCTTTTTGCTATTGTGAATGCAAGGATCCCTGGTGTTTACTCTGCTAGCTCTTGGCAAACTGCCCATGCTACTTTTTATGGTGGCAGTGATGCTTCTGGAACAATGGGTATTTGCTTCTGCTCTTATAATCTTTAACTTTGACCATAATTTTCTACAATAGTCCAGCTTTGTTGTAGTGAGATCTTGTTCTGTTTTGGGCTGCAAATTCATATCAATGGCCACACTTTCATTCATGTAGAAAAGCATTAAAATCCCGTTTTCCCATTTCACTGAAACCATTATAATGTGTCTGAAAATTTGTTTCTTATTGTTTTGTTTAGGAGGTGCATGTGGGTATGGGAATCTCTACAGCCAAGGCTATGGCGTGAACACAGCAGCTTTAAGCACAGCACTTTTCAACAATGGCCTTAGCTGCGGTGCTTGCTTTGAGATTAAGTGTGCAAATGACCCAAGGTGGTGTCACTCTGGAAGCCCTTCCATTTTTGTCACGGCCACTAACTTTTGCCCTCCTAACTACGCTCTCCCAAGTGACAATGGCGGCTGGTGCAACCCTCCACGCCCTCACTTTGACCTTGCAATGCCTATGTTTCTCAAGATCGCCGAGTACCGTGCTGGTATTGTCCCTGTCTCCTTCCGTAGGTGAGTCAGAGTTTTACGCTACGTGTATACATTTTGTGCATTCCTGAGTTTTTCCTGTTTGCCGATTTCTTAGGAACCAAATAGTTTTACTTATAATTATTAAAAAATGTTTTTGCCCACCCCTTTTTTGGGAATGCAAAAACCGGGTCAGGGTAGTATTGTAATTTTATACTTTTTTAATGTCCACAATTACCCTTCCCTTTCCTCGATTAGTCAATCGTTTATTTTCACAGAGTACCGTGCCGAAAGCGAGGGGGAATCAGATTCACCGTTAACGGATTCCGTTACTTCAACTTGGTTTTGGTCACCAACGTCGCGGGTGCAGGGGATATCGTGAAGGTGAGCGTCAAAGGAACCAAAACTGGTTGGTTGAGCATGAGCCGTAACTGGGGTCAAAACTGGCAGTCAAACGCCGCTTTGGTAGGCCAGGCACTCTCGTTTAGAGTCACGGGCAGTGACAAGCGAACCTCCACTTCGTGGAACGTGGCACCATCTAATTGGCAGTTCGGCCAAACTTTTACGGGAAAGAATTTCCGCGTTTGAAAAACATGCGGTCCCAGTTTCCCCTAATTTTTCCTTTTAAACTTTTTTTTTTGTTTCCCGCCCCTCAATTTTCCTTTATTTTCTCGGAAAGTTTGAAGTGATCGGTGGGTGGGTAAAAGTAAAAAATTGAGCTGGTGGTAACAGTTAAAAAAAAAAAAAATCAGCAAATGCTTGGTTAAAAAGTTGCAAGGGGGGGGCTGAAGCGGCTGCAAATCAAAGAAAGCTTGTAGCCCGCAGCTCTTGGTCTACAGTAATCTCCATTTTTACTGCTGTAATAAACTACTTTCTACTATATAAAATTTATTGCTTCTTCCATTTAGCTATCTTTGTGTTTCTTTTTAAGATATAAGCTTTTAAAGGGTGTCTTTGATTTTGCACCTTAAATCAATCAATGCTTGTAATGTAGTAGTTGTGACAGCCATTATTATGAGCCTTTGATTTATGTCCATAGCATCAAAGTAACTGATAATAGTGTTGGTTAGGAATTTTTTTATTTAATTTTTAATATATTCTTAAATTTCTTATTATGTTACTTCTTAAAAAAATATTATGCATATAAATTTTTTTAAACCGTCAAATACTAATTCTAATAATATGATAATTGATCTAAAAAATAATCAATATATTAATTATAAACATAAATTTTTTCGAATTTATAATTTTCAAATATTAATTATAATAACATATCAACTGATTTAAAAAATAATCGACGTATTAATTAAGAATTAAGTTTTAGTTCATATACATGTTGCTTATGAATATGAACTAACCGTTAAAAACATAGAAATGAATGAATATATCATCTTAGGTATCATTTTCAAATGACCCAAAAATCTGTTGAACTACGTCTTTCATGTTCACAACTTGTTTAGAGAGTTGTTATGTTACATTGAAGAGCACTAGAGAGATTAATTCGTTTGTGTTTCTCTATGGTATATTGAAGAGCATTTGCTTCTGGTCTTGTTCTATGACAAGCGTGATCAACAATGTGGGCTTTTTTTCTATGGGCATCACATTCCACAGATCCTTCGGCCATGTCTGAACTGCACTACCATTCGAATGTTTTGACCTAACTCTTAGCCGTTATTTTTCATTCTAGTGACAGTAAAGATGCTTTTCTTAACATCACTGATTTTCACAGACAAATTGAATAGCCTGTCTCTTCTATTATTTTTATTATTTTAAGAGAACTTTTTATATAAAAGTTTCAGATTCAATTTTTTTTATAAGAAAATATTATGTCTTTTAAGGTAAACAATATGCCGTTGGAGCAATGTCATGTTAAGATTCCAATATTTAAATAATTGGTAAAATTTCTATTTTATATATAAGATAAGAAAAAATTAAAATTTAATTTAAAATTATAATATTCAGTTCAGCTTAAATAAATTTTTTATTTAATTTGAATCAAATTTGGATATTACATATATATTATTAGATTGAAATCAGATTTTGAATCGAGAGTTAAGAAACAAAAAAAAAAGAACTTAAACCAAATTATATATATTTTTTAGTTTTGTATATTTTTAAAATTTTTATAAAATAAAAATAATAATATTTATATCAAAATATACTTAAATATATTACATTTTATATTAAAATAATATATAAAAATAAAAAATTTAAATTTAAAAATCAAAAAATCAAATCGAACCAAATTGATAAAATTTGATTTGATTTGGATTGTATAAAGATTCGATTCAAATTTGAATTGAATTTTAAAAATTTATAATTTATGCAATATTCGAAAAAATTAAATCAAATCTGATTCAATTTGAATCATTATTACATCTATCTATATATATTCAAAAAAAGGTAAAAAATAAAAATATATATGAGCAAATGGATACTTCTCATTTGTTCTCCTTCCAACAATTTGTATTAGTCATAGTGGCATTTTTTTTGGCTTTTTTTTTTTTTTATTTGGAATCTTTGGTGTTCAATAGTCATTTTGAACTTTAACTAATTCGAGGTCGAGCCGGGTTGAATCTCATAAGGGGGCAAGGTTTCTTAGCACTTGTCTTTTCTATTCACAAAAGTTGAAATCAAAATTTTGCTTAAGGAAAACTGAACTTATGAGCCACTTGAATTAACATGTGTTGGTATAGTGATACAATTTTAGATTTGGTGATAATGGAATTAAGTTGAAAGTTAAGTTAGTGAGTGTGTTAGGCTATCAAAAAGAAGAATGTCAAGGGCATCAAAACTTAAATTTTGAGACATGCTTCAATACTCAAATCAATTAAATATATAAAGAAAATAAAAAGGGTAAAAAAAAAAAAGAAAAGAAGTTATCAAAATAAAATAGAAAGAATGTTGAGAATAATTACATGCTTAGTTTAATGCTTTTTTTATACCTTATTATTGATAATGTGATTAGCTGAACATATGACTTTCTGCCTTAAAATCATATGTGAGATGTGTGAGTATTGATGGCCTAGCAGCTAAAATGCTGATGACTTGACCACTAAAGTATAACACAATTCAATGATGCCATTGAGTCTTGAGGTAGCAACTATAGTCTTGGTCGGTTAAACTAGCAAGTCAAGAAGAATTTAAGAACCAAGCATACAAAAAGGTTATTCTCAAGTTGTATTATACTATCCTTTTTGCATATGCTGGCCAAATAGTGAAAAGATATATAAATATATATATGTATAATTTTTTTAACAATTGGGAGAGGCTTTTAGAGACAGACAGGCAATAGTGGAAATGGAATATGTGCCAAAAACAATCATTTTCTTTGCTTGATCACTATCAACTTTGCATGAAATAATTTCTGCCAATGGGAATTGGTTTTTACTTAAAGGTTCGAAGTGTGTGGCAAGTTTTACAGTTTTGTGTCGGAGAATTGCTGCCATAGAATTGGAATAATATTTTGATTGAATAGCAATTTGCCTGGGATTGGATTTTTTTTTTAATCAAAATAAATTGATTAATGCATCACTGAAAAATCACGTTTTGAGAGAATATTGTGGGGGTGAAATGGGCCTCAATTGGGTTTGAACAGATATTCGGGGTGAAAGACTGAAAAAAAAAAAAAAACAAAAGGAATTGGAAACGCCGTCTGTGGGAATCGAACCCACGACCACGTGGTTAAAAGCCACGCGCTCTACCGGCTGAGCTAAGACGGCTGAGTTGGATCTTTACTCGGTAACCCCCCATTTATCTTCTATATTCAACATAAATGCATTATGTGAACTTTAACAGAAGCTATTTATAACCTCAATAAATAGATATCGTCGATTCATTTTTGTTGAATTCAAATTATTATAAACGAATAATTAATAAATTTTAATAAAATATTCAAATAGGATAAGAATAATATCTCTTAATATTTAATATTTGAATTTATTTAAGTATTAATAAATAATAATTAAATATCTAAATTCATTATCTATTTACATATATAAAATATGTAAAATTTTATATTTATAAAAATTTTCGAACCTTAATAAATAACTTTTACTCTTTTATTTTTTTAATTAAAAATAAAATTAATTTTAAATTAAATTAATTTTTTATTTATTTTATATTTTGATAAAAAATTTGAATAGACAAATATTTTAACGACTCAAATATTTAAATAAATAATATTTATTTAAACAGAGTCTAATATTATAAATATTAAACTTCTAAAATATCCAATATTTACTCCTATGCCATCCCTACCCTAACCATCCCTAGTATGGGTGGGGGCGGAGGGGTTAAGTATGAGAAGGTACATGAATTCTTTTCATAATGCATAAATAAGATGACACTAGCTATGCTTGACCCTATACGCTCACGTTACAGAGGCTTGACTATGAAAAAATAACACAACAAATCAAGAACATCTCTACATGATCGGACTCCCCACCATTATTCCTCGGATTCTTGCAAGGACAACAATTATGGACATATTTCCATGTTTTCATTCTACATAATAAGAGCCTAGGCAAGACGTTGGGGATGAGAATTTGTTGCATGTTGTAAAAGTTCTTCAGAAAGCTCAAACAACTTGTTGCAAGTTGAGTTTATCTATTGCCTTAAAACTCTGTTTGAGCTGAAGACAAAGTTTTCTTCACCAGTGGAGTGTAACCTGCCGGCAGCCCAGCCATTGTTCAATGCGCGAACAGCAGCTCGTGCTGGATCCCCTGTCACACGGCTTCCCTCAATCTGGCTTTCAAATTCAGGAAGACCGCATGCCTTCCTTTCTTCATCTCTTTCTTTTCTCAGCCAGCTCTCTACTGTTCTCCGCAAATTAAAACCAACAAGGCATTTCACAATGTTCAACAAGCTTCACTCATAAACAGAGGACATTTCAAGCATCTACCAGGAAAACTAATCATTAGCGACAAATTGCTAATCTCTTTAACCTTATCCATTGGCATTGCTAATTGCAATTTCCCATGAGCCATGTAAACCTGAAACAAAGATGAGGGTTTTGTCATTAAGAAGATATATAAAAATCATCTATTTTACAAATTCATTTTGAAAGAAAGGTCGTTCTTAGAATGGAACCGAGATAGACAATATGTGATGGCCACTTTTCTAGACCATCAAATATATGTGTTGCATAGATTATTGTGGCGCCTTGCTCTTCACATTCCTTTCTAAGGAAATTCAGAAGGTTAGCCCTTGCCAGCACATCAAGGTCAACTGTTATCTCATCCAGTAGAAGAACCCATAGAAACAGGAAACAGCCTTGAGGAACAATTGTTATAAAAACTTCCAAACTTCCTTCTGGAAGGAAAGGAGGTCACAGCTCTACAGAAGACCAGACAATGGAAGTATTGAAATTAGAAAACCACCATCTAGGAAATTGAAAATACCTGGAATGGCTTGAGAAGACCCATACAAATTTGGACACGTCTTCTCTGACCATCAGATACCTTGTGCATCCTCCACGAGAGATCAATATCGAATACCTAAAACAAAGAGCAAGTATCATTTTTTTAAATGCTTAGCCAAATTATTGAAATTTGTACACGGTTTTCTTGAATCATTCAATGGAGAATAATGAGCTATCAGATACTACCACCCTTGGTGCTTTCATATGCTGCATCATACTTCTATAAAAATGCATACCTTGATTAGTTCAGCTCTTCTTTGGGGATCAATACCTGCAACTCCAAAATTAATTTTCTCCGCAGAAATGTCCATTTGAATTGGAACATCAAATCCTCCAAAAGCAACATCACGCCTCCACTGCAAAAGAAAAAACTACCCTTTATTTTATCTTATAAAATTCTACACAAAAACCAATAGCACCAACGTCAAATCTTCTTGCAAACTACAGCTAAATGAATTCAATGCAACTACGAAAGAAAACCATAGCAATGACTTTTCCCATTATTTCCCTTCTTGATACAATTTACATTTTTCCACCAATTATGTCTCACTGACGCAGTTCATAGTTCATTCAACAATTCTAAAATAAATTGACCTTAAGGTCATGTTTGGTGCATATGATGATGGATAGGATAAGATGATAATCATTGTATATTATGTTTGGTTTGTATCTAAAGAAAGGGATAGGATTATCCTATTCTAATCCTTGCACACATCAAACACAAGATAGGATAATATTATTTAATCTAATTCTATTTATAATATCATCTTATCCTATCCTATCATTATCTTATATACCAAACACATCCTAAATTCGTCATATTGGCAAATTTTTTCAAAATTCTAACTTTGGGGAATTACTAAATGAACATATGCAAACAGGGAAAATTACTTAACTAACCTCTCCTCCAAGATAACAAAGATCACCGGAGGAAGCCAAAACGGTGTCGTGGAAAGCGGATCTTCCCAACACTCGAACCATGTGCGGTTCCACCATGTGCTTCCCTCCCAGTATCTTCAATATCGTTGTTTTCCCTATCATTCATTGAAACAAATAAACCAAAAAAACTGAATAAAATTTGAATTTATCATTCCAATTTCCTTGATTTTCTCCATCAACGGTAACTGATTAACTAACCAGCGCCATTGGATCCGACGAGGAGACACCGATCGCCGGCGTTAAGAATGAGAGAGAAATCATCGATAAGAGGGGTGGACCCTGGTGGTGGGTGACCGTCGATTCCAGGATACGTGAATCGCAAACCGTTGATCTCCACCGTTGGTTTCGAACTCTCCATCACCGCCATTTCACTGAGTAGTTGAGTTCTCACCCACCAACAATGTCAAAAGTATTTATAATTTCCTCTTCTCCCAAATACGCACGGCATTTTCCTTTAAATTTACGAAAGCATCCTTGCTCCTGTACGTGGCGCCACTAGAGCCAAGTCCGATGTAATTTAACAGTAAAGTGGTTTGTAAAGAGAGGGCAAAAACGTCAAATAAATTTGTAAATAAATAAATAAACAAAAAACACTAACAGATTTATTTCTAAGCAACGAGTTTGAGGGTTTTGAATTCGATTCCCTTGACAATGGCGGCGATTTACAGTCTTTACATAATTAATAAATCGGGAGGTTTGATCTTCTATAAGGTATCATTACTTTGAAACATTTCCTGTTTGTTTCTCCAGAATATTTGGTAAACTTTTTATGTTTTTTTTTTTTTTTTTTAAAGGATTATGGATCAAAGGGTCGCATGGATACGAATGATAGCTTGAGAGTGGCTAGTTTATGGCATTCCATGCACGCGATCTCGCAGCAGCTATCGCCTACCACTGGTTGTTCAGGAATTGAGCTACTTGAAGCTGATACCTTTGATCTCCATTGTTTTCAATCCCTTACTGGTAATTTTTTTTGAAATATCAATTATTATTATTGTCTTATTTAATTTTAATTAATGGGAAATTTTGAAGTGTGAAAGTAGAATCGGAAGAAGCTGATTTGTAGATCTGATTTTCCCACTCAGTTGACTGAAAGTTGTATAATATTGGGAATTTATATAATGTAATGTAAGATGATGAAAATAAAATTTTTGTGGAAATTTACTTCTATTTGATGCTTATGTAAATCCGTGAAGCCTGCATAATGTGTTCTTGATGCAGTTGGCAATGCTTCTTCATTTTAACCATTTACTTAAAATTTTTCTGGTGCTTGCTTTTCCTCCAGTTTGAAGCTTAAAACTATAGTACTGGAACTGTTGCCAGTTAAGTAATCTGTGATTAATGCCTGTTGGGCAATTGTTTATGGTACAACTTGAAGATATGATGTTACAATTGAAAGAAATTCATTGTCTGATTGTGCTCTTAGTGATAGAGGTAGGTTAGTTAAGTCTTACCAATTGGAAGGGGGAAATTTGTTTTAGTTCTGGTTTGTGCTGCTTTATGAAACTTGTTACACCTGTCTGGTTACTTGATATGTACAACTCTCTAGCTTTGTATTCTAAGACTGTTTTAAAAATAATCTTTCTAGGACATATCTACTTATTACAAATCCATTGGTTTATGATATGAACCCCATCCTGGGAGCCTCAAATGTGTGAAAATGGATAAAGAATAAAATGATAAACATGATGTAGAGGAAACTAAAGATGGACATCCATATCGGAAGATGTTGGATCCAACTTTAACATGTTGAGATGATCTAAGGTGAGAATTTTTAGTGATAAGTTTAACCCTTGAAAGTTTATTATCGGAAAATTGGCGAACTAGAAGGCTTGATTACTTGTTTCTCTTTGTTGGTCTAGTGACAATGCTGAATAAATCTTTTGTTTCTTGCGCTTGACTTGAAATGGTATTTTGCAAACATGTGTTGTACAATTTTGGAAGGTACTCTCGCATTTGTTGACTTTGCAGATATTTATATTGTTATGATATACAGGGACGAAGTTCTTTGTGGTCTGTGAACCTGGGACACAGCACATGGAAGCTCTGTTGAAAATCATCTATGAGCTTTACACAGATTACGTTTTGAAGAACCCCTTCTATGAGATGGAGATGCCTATACGCTGCGAACTCTTTGACATCAACTTGACACAGGCAATACAGAAGGATCGTGTTGCGCTGTCGGGACGATGAACTGTCCTGGAACGTGCATCTCACCAAATTTTCACCTTCTCTCATCTTCATTTGTACATTTTCAATGGAAGATTAATGTCATGTTTGTATCAGCTATTTTAATGTGATATCTCTCAGACTCCTGTGATCAGTTCATATATGCTGTGTCATTTACAGCATTGGATGATTACGAGAGTTGTTTTTCTCAATTAACAGTAATAAAAATGGTTCGATCAGCTGTTCCGAATTAATGAAAAATCTTGTTACTGGTTTGTTCCCCCTATTAGTTAATTATTGTTGCCGCTATATTATTAAACTTTTATCTACTAAGAAGTTTCTAGCTGGCATTCACAAGTTTTTCCTTTTTAAAACAAATTCTAAAAATTAAAGCATATATCTTTTATCTTGTTGGTAGATGTTACAGCAGAACAGATGTTATAAATAGAGTGTTCATGGTGAACCATTTGCGTTCATTCAAGGTGAAAGTCATTGCAACTGAGATATCTCCAGCACAGGCCTTATCAGGAAGGACGAATCTATACTTGCCTTTCAGCTTTTCCTGTCTCTGCACCCAAGGACACAGCATCCTTTAGATATATCCTGCAATACCAAGTACCAAACAATAATGGTCATGGTTGGAAAAGAAAGGAAAAATGGAAAGGGTCAAAAAGTTATGAATTACTATTCCTTATTGCCTTCAACCTTGGTTGAAAAGAAACCAATAGGGTGGAAAAAATAGGAAAAAGTGAATAGAATTACCAGGGAAGAAAAAAGGAGCTGGAAGAGAAAATTTATGTTGTTTCGCCAATGAGAACGTCCGTAAGCAATTTGTGCTTGTCTATGATGTGGACGGCCTGGGTTGACTGCATTGCATGCGAGGACTTTGATTCCAGACTGATTTTCCTCCTTTTCCTGTATACGTGGTCTTGATTGGTTTGTTTTCTACTCCATTGAAAAATAAAGTTTGGTTACGTTCAAGTTAAATTCACCTTCATCACTCTTGTTCTTGATTTCTTTATTGGATAAAAACCGTACAAATTCATCTCGACTGAGACATTTGCATCAATATACTAATCCAGGAAAAAAAGGAAATTGCACCATGCATACTATTACAAACCTTGTGTTCACAAAAATCATTCAAGAACACTTAGGAAAACATTCATATTTTAGGTAATATATACAACAGCTTTACCATTGGAATGGTTATGAGCATTTACAATTTTACATGGCGTTCCTTCTGAACGCTTTTTGACATTTCACCTGGCTCCTGAAGCTGCTCAAGCACTGTTACCACCTCATCCATGCTTGGCCTTAACTTGGGTTCCACAGCTAAGCACTGAAGTGCAAGGTTAGCTGCCTTTTGAGCCCGGTTTAATGAATATTGGCCTTGGAGACGGGTGTCTAGTACACGGAATATCCTACGTTTGTTGGTTAGGTAAGGTTTTGCCCACTCCACCAGATTGTGTTCTCCAGATGGCCTGTTCTTGTCTATAGCTCGTCGGCCAGATGACATTTCCAGAAGAACAACTCCAAAGCTGTATATGTCACTCTTGGCAGTCAAATGACCTTTCCAATAGAAAATGAAATTGATATAATCATATCAATACTAGTGTATCAACTTCATTTCATATGATACAATAACAAATGACAAAATAGAGCTGAAAATAGCTGATATGATACAAAATAACTTCTATGCTACATAATCATACAAATTGGAGATGACTTTTCTTCTTTTGGTCGTAATACAGCCAACAGCTTCATTTCATTGAAGAACTCGATAAAATCAAATTTCGGGGCATCCAAAGAAAAGTAGTAGATAGAGGGTTGGAAAATAAATGCCGAATGGATTGACAAAGAAAAAGTATTTGCAGAAGAAAACATAGCTGGGAGCAATACCTGTGGCTAGATACTCTGGAGCAGCATATCCATAGGTTCCCATGACCCTAGTGGAAACATGGCTCCTGTCACCAGTTGGTCCATCCCTAGCTAACCCAAAATCAGATAGTTTTGCATTGTAATTCTGCAATATCAAATGAAACAGCAGTATATAGCACGTAAGCAAAGTGGATAAAATTCCAATATTTTCACCATCCTACAGAATGCAAAGGGAAGCATTAGCTAAGTTACATACCGAATCAAGCAAGATATTTGAAGTTTTAAAGTCGCGATATATGACTTGTGTTTTGGCATTGTGGAGAAAGGCAAGTCCTTTGGCAGCACCAAGTGCGACCTTCATCCGGATGCCCCAAGAAAGTGGTGGGAAGTGCGAACCCCCTGTTCCAAAATTAAATTAGGCACACTAAATGGAGACATATGCTTCACTTCATAGATATGAATGTTTCATTAATACAAATAACTCACTCCTGAATAAATGATTCTCCATGCTACCCCGTGCCATGAACTCGTATACTAGAAGCCGGTGCTCATCTTCTAAGCAGTAACCAATCAACTTTACAAGATTAGGGTGATGAAATTGTCCAAGATAGTTGATTTCAGCCTTTACACCAAAATATAAAAGAAAATCAAATTATCATCTTATAAGAGAAGGTCCTGAATAACAAAGCCTTCACCAAAAATGCATTTATCAGATCATAATTTTACCAAATTGAAAGTTATTAAGATTGTGTGAAAATCCTAATTCCTAACCAACTGGACTGTTTTTTGTGTTAATAGAATAATGGTAAGTCAATTTAATGACAGTATCCAACTTTAAACTGAAACTGAAACAGACACTGACACTAACCAGCCATTCCTTGTGACCCTGGAACCCTTCTTGTTTGAGCCTCTTAACAGCAATTACAATGCCAGTACCAGGCTTGGTAGCTGTAAGTGAATGTTCATCAATCCATCCTTTGAAGACAGAACCAAACCCACCTTCTCCTATGACACTGTCTGGCCGGAAGTTTCTGGTAGCTGTTCTGAGCTCACTGAAGGTCAGAGTCTTTAAATTTGAAGACTGCAAAATCTCACCCTCGCTCCGAGGAGTTTGTGGTATAGAAGCTGAAGAAACCCTCCTGCTTGAACCACTCAAATTGTTTCCATTTGTGCTGGCACTCGTCAAATTAACTCCTGTATAAAACAATAGTTAACTTCACTTATTTTCAAAGATAATATACAATTGTCTCCACCAAGAACCCACATTTTTAAAGCTCCAGACAGGATCTATATTACAATTTGAGCTTGTGCTCATCAAATTTTGACTATAAACAAAATGACACACTCAAAACACAACAGAAATCAAGCCCTTTTCGTTGATTTAAAAATAGGAAACAAGGCATGCAAGTTCATTTTTAATCAACAAAACAAAAAAAAAAAATCAAAGCTTTAAGCAAAATCAAGAACGAAACAACATTCAACTAACCTGTGCTAGATGGACTGACAGACTTTATGCGATTGCTCCAGCAAGCTCCCATCAAAACAGAATAAAACTCAGATCTTTCTTTCAATCTTTTCCTTTTTCTTTTACAAGGCCAAACTTCCTACAGAGAAAGACAACCACAAAACACTCAACTTGCCTGTTCAGAAAGATCAAAGTTGAGTAGTAGGTGGCAATTGGGCAGCAAGATTTTGGATACGATCTCTTCTGAGCACCCTTTTTCTCACTTTTTGGAAGGTGGGTTTGGCATTGGATGATGATGAGAAAAGATCAGCAAACCAAAAAGTAACATAAAAACTGCTTCTATGCTATTGGATTTGCTCCCTTTCCTTCTTCCTTCCTTTCTTGCTTTATGAGTAGCTCTTTTTTGACCTCGGCCAACCAAATATTGTAGACGGTTGACTCACTTTTTACCTCTTTATTTTTTTTTTGTCTGTTTTCCCCAACAAACAACCATGTGCATTTCCATTTCCATTTTTACATATTTCATTAACCCACGACCCAAAAATAACAAATAAGATAAGAGAAATAATTAAATTATACTTTTAAGATATAATAAAATTTTAAAATTTTTAATTAAAGTGAAAATAATTATATTAAAAGATTTATTTATAATAAATCAATAAATAAAATTTTTATTTAAATTGTTATGATATTCTATATAATAATAACTTTTATGAATAATAATTTATTTTATTCAAATATTTATGATTATTTATCTTATAATAATTATTTTTATTTAAATATAATTATTTAAAATATGAATAAAATTAATACAAAACTTAATTTTACTCATTAATAATTAAATCTTTCTATCTAATGTGAATGCACTACAATTTAAACTACCAATAATTCTCTATTAATTTGAAATATTGATGTTTAATCGTTAACCTTTCACATAAATACTTATTACAAATATAAAAAAGTTTCTCTTGATTTAAACTTTTAATTAATGTATACATATTAAAATTCTAACGAAATTGATGGTGTCTGCAGATTAAATCTCAATTTTTAGTATTAGAATTAAAGATATAACACATATAATACTTATTTATTCTTCTATCAGAAGTTTATAACTGCTTTAGCACTATTATGACCATATGTTTATCCTATTCATAAATATTTACAAGAGATACATCAATTAAAGCGACACTACTTCTATATTTATAGAGATGGAGTTTCTATTATATCTCTATTGCTTTAAATATTTAAAACTCCATTAAGAGTATAAAAATCCATCCTCCTCATGTAATAGATCATACTAATTTTTAAAATTTGAGTGAATTTTATTAGTACTTAACAAACACATAACAATAACTTATTTTTACCTATTACACTTTATAATTAGATGTTACTAATTCAAAATTAGGTTCTCGTTATTGGTATCTAATAGTAAGGATTTAAATCTATTTTATTTGTAGTACTATTGATTAAATATCTTAGAATTTAATTTTTTTTATAGTAATTACCCTCACTTGAGATTGAATCTGTAATATATTCACTTCATAGGCTAACATGTCTAAACTTTTTATTTTGCATATCATTTATATGTTCTAGATATTGTTGTCTTGTTCTTGTCATTTTAAAAAATAAATAGTATTGGTTGTGGCCACAACTCTATACTCAAAAATTTCTACCATTCTATTTTCATACTTTTATTACATCTTTAATACAATTATACTTCTAGTATAATTGGATAAATTAAATGAATAAACTAAACCATTTTAGTCCTTTTAAGATTTTAAAAACTTTTTAATGATTGTACTTTAATAAGTATACTAAACTTATTAGTTTGTATAATTTGCTCATAAAATTATACTAAAAGCTTACAACATTATAGTAATAATTTTTATTTCTTTTAATTCTTATCACTCCTATCATATGTAAGCATGCATTCTTTTATTAAAAAATGTTTCATTCAATTATCAAGATATCATATATACTTAATTAAGTTGTCATTTTATTTATCTTTTCACTATTTGATATATATATATATATATATATTTTAGTAGGAGACCTCTAAATCCACAATTTGTGAAAGATAACTAATAAATATTCTATATTTTAATTTTTTTTTTATAAAAGTTTCAAAACTTTTATATTTTAACTCGATATAAGAATTTACATTAATAAGTAGATTTCAAATATAATCATGCTATATAGTCTCATTTTAAGACTTTTTATGTCAATTCATAAATACTTAAATAAATTTATTTAATTATGGACACTATTAATAATTTTTATTATCATGAACAAAATCATTTCCATCACTAAAATGGATCAAATAACATTCTTTTTATTATTATAAAAGTTTTCATATTCACAAGATCATTGAATCACTCATGGCTTCCAAAGTAAATATACTTTTAAATTTTCACTATATTTCAAAACTTTTAATAAAACCATAGATGATAAATAATTTATACAATCCATGAATTAGACCATATACATAACAAAAAATTATCACAATGTGTTAAGATTGTGACATCAGTTTTGGCTTATGGCTATTCTAAGCCAACCATAATAATTCACATCATACCTATAAATTATATAGATTTAGCTATTGAAGTTATCTCATTTATAGTGAAGGCTTTTAGTGAAAATCAACTATCTTAAATGTTATCATGAGTTTTCAATGCATATATTAATTGTCCAATAGCCAATTTCAAGTTTATGACTATTGAAACCTTTATACTTGATTTCAAAATTTTAGGAGAACTTTATTTCTCCACCATTGTTTAGCCTAAGTATATATCTCTATTATTTATCACTTTTAATTGGTCATAACATTTTCAGATATATAATAAATTCAAAATTTTACTAATGGAACCAATATGCCTATGTACAATAAGAGTCCATATCATTTTGTGATCAATATGTTAATATCTAGATCACCATATTAACGCAAGTCATAAAACATGAATAAAAAATTATTTTCATAAAATAACATAAAAAATTTATAATATGAATAATACTAATATTTCATGCAAAAACTAGTGATGAATTTGCATTAGTTAAATAATTGATTGGCTAACTTCAAGGCTTACGGTTTTCACAAACTAATATTATTATCTAAGTCCATATATTAATATGGTGTATAACTAGCCACATCCTTGTCATTGTCATGAAATTATTGAAAACCTCGAAAACTTGTGCACTTATCATTTTAACAACCTACAAAAAGCCATTTCTTCAAGTACAAAAAGCAAAAATATATTTATTATCTTTAACAAATAATGTATTAATTTAATAATGGTATTCTATCTTCATAATCCATATCTTTCTTATATGTATAAAAAAAAAATTCCATCCAATTCAGTAATGTATATCAAACTATACCAATATTTTCTATGCCATCACAAAATGAAATTAAACAAATGCATGTACTGATGCTTTTGGAACATTGAATTTGCATGTTATTTTCTAATTTATAAATACGACTAATTAGACATTGATGAGCATCCTTCAAATGCTAGTAATCAACAAATGTTTCGATTTTTTTTAATGACATGTCTTTTCTTTTAATCAATCATCTATTTAGCATAAATTGTTAACTAAATTTTAGTTAGTGATACTATCATAAAATTTACAAAATAAAGGGATGCTATAGATTTACATAATGTGTTTTTCATTACCATCAACCACAATTCTTCATGAAATTATATATTCATTACATATAATAAACTTGCATTAACTTATTACATTATAAATTCAAACAATTTATAAATGCTATCATCAACAAGAATAATATTTTAGAACCTAGACCTTTATAAACCTCATAGTTATAATTGTTTGATATTTTCTTTTAAAACAAGCATCTCTTTAATATCTTACCTTTTGTAAGTTAATTTCATCAATCATAGTTATACAGTAGGGACATTTATATTCCAAATTCTTGAGTTTATTGTTTTACTTATCTTGGCCATCAAACATAATTTGAGTTGTACCTAACTTTTTCTTTGTGATTGTTCACAATAAAATTTTATTTTGTAAAATCACTTCTAGTGTAATACACTTAACAAGAAAAATACATTTCACATTACTCATGTTTCTGATAATAACAATTATTTAGTTTATTAGTCACCAATTAATCCATGAAGCATCATATCTTAATAATAATTATTCACATACATCAATTTAATTTTAATTGGTTTTCATGAAAATTGAACTCTAGTCAAAATTTAAACCAATCAAAAAAATCAACTTTTGATTTATAAATGACCAATAAAGATAAAATCAAACACATTGCTTGACTCAACTTATTATCTCAATTTTGGTGCTATGATTAAAAAATAAAACTAATTTTACAACCAAATATTATTTTCTGCATATATTCTTCATTTGCATCTAATTTTTCATTGTAAATTATTTTACCCATTTTTTATTATTTTCATAGAAACTATGGGACAATTTGCCTGTTCTATATATAACCAAAACATGACAATTAAACAATTGATCATTTTATTAGAACCCAATTTAATTCATTACTTGATAACAAGTAATAATTCTTTTGATCTAAAATCAATTCATGTCTTTTTCTTTTATATTTTCAGACTATTTCCCATCTCAGTCTTTATAAGTATCAATTTTTCAAATAAATATAATACTACAATTGATTAAATCTAATTGTGGAGTCAATTTCAATATATGCATAAACTTATGTAATGTAATTAATATTTTGCATATTGTGTTTTGACTTGACATATTACTGAAATTAAATGCTAACATGCTTATCTCACTCAGTCTATCTTCTTACCAACAATTATACAAAAAAAAAATATATACCTCTAGTGAAGATCGTTATGAAAATTAACATTTTGGTCTATGGAACATTAATCCACTCTAATATTGACCTCTAAATCATGTCAATTTTTTTTCTTGTATCTTTCTCATGTAAAATATAAATTTCTCATAATTGCTTCTAAATTATTTTTAAAAAAATAAGAGAAGAGAAATAATAAAAAAGAATTTTAGCTTTGAAACATGAAGAACATTTTTTTAAAAGCAATTATGTCTTTATGATACAATAAAAACTCAAACTCTCTAATCAGAAGTAATGAAAATAATTATACTGAAAGATTTATTTATAATAAATGAATAAACATAAACTTCTATTTAAATAGCTATGATATTTTATATAATCATGACTTTTATGAATAATAATTTATTTATATTTAAATAGTTATGAGCATTTATCTTATTATAATTATTTCTGTTCAAATATAATTATTTAAAATATGAATAAAATTAATACAAAACTTAACTTCATTAATTAATAATTAAATTTTTTTATTCAATATGAATGTACTATATTTTAAACTACCAAC